ACCTTCCGATAACCGTGCCGAAATTCCTTGTGACTCGTGTTATTGAATGGTGAAAGGTGCGTCTCAAGTGACAACGTTGAGTCAAAAATGACTCCGGCGTTATCACCTGATATGCGGTCGTCGGAATGTTGAACGGTTAGACGGTCTTTATCTCTTTCGTCCCGTATGGCACGCATACGTGTCACGAACATTTTAAATTACCATAAATCTAGAGAACGCCTTAAAGATAAACGAACATTGTACCACACGGTGATCTTTGCTTATGGCTGACAGTTTAAGTGCTAATTATTATTACTAGTATTTATCTTATTTATTTCGCTGAAAAGCTTTATTTTCACTTGAAAACAGCTGTTCTTGGATCTCTCTTTGATTTAGGGGAAAAATATATATTCAGGGACGAAAGGGTTAAGTCAGTATGGGATGAATGTTAGTTATTAGGTATGTAGAATGACAATGAGCAAAATATTTGGAACAATGAACAGGAAATAACTTGTTTTCTCAGGTAAAGGTAGTAGTCTACGCGAAGAAGTTTTATACAATAGTATTTAGAATTATATAGTAATTAGCAGTGAATGCCATCTATTTTCATAAAACACCTAAATAAAAGCATGTATAAGAACATTTAACCTAGTAGAATATGAGTTTAGCTTTTTGGGGTTGATTTTGTGCTCTAGGTGAAATATTTTTCATATTTGTAAATAATTACTTCAGTTCCTGAAAATAAAATTCGTCTTTCCACCGAAAGTACATTGTCTATACAGAACAGTATTTTATGTAAATACGCAATTTAATAGATATAATAATATCTGCTACTGAAATCAATAATTGCAGAAGTTTCACATGAAAGTTTACTTCAATGTAAATTTAGTTTAATTCAATTTAATTTAATTAACTTACATTCAATTTTAAATTAAAGCTAATTAAATTACTGTGAAAGATCTAAGTAAAGTCCAGAACTTCGTGATCGTAGATATCTTTAACTTCTTGCATTATAATAACGTATCAGACCAGTCGTGAAGATTTTAAATAAAATTTAACAAACATAAATATTAACAAATTTTCTTAAATTCAAATTAAGCATTATTCTTCTGTTATCAATTATTATATATTAAGGGAAATATTGTTGGAAAAAGTCATAAGGCAAGAGGTTTAAATTGAAGATAGGCGGTATTCATGTTCTTCACAAGTGGTCATAAACGTATATTCAAGTCAGTAGAGATACTTCCCCTGAAAATATCATTAAATTTGTTTAGATCAGAGGATGAGAACGTATGAAACAACTTGTAAACTGGACCATGTTGCAACAAACTGGATCTCCGACTATCGTAGTTTCATTGTAACTCTGTCTTAAAAAGAGTAGACGAAAAGTGCGGGAGTGGATGAATAAGATTGAAAGCCCTCGGGGTGTCAGCGAGCGTAAGTTATCGGTGGCTGGAATGAAAGCGGATACAGAAGTGTCCGTAGATCAATTCCGCTGACATCAGAGAAGTAGACACTTCTTTAGTAAAGAGACAATATTTTTAAACGTTTGGGCGTGATGTAGATTTAGACTGTAAGTACAAATATGCATACTGTTCAAAATAGTCTTTCTTTTCTATAGTTGCACATTTTCGTTTCTTTATAACCGCTTTGTTATTTCCACTTGTGACATTTTTCTTCAGCCACATCAGCGAAAAAAATCAACGAAGAAACGTTTGTCAATAAAACGATAGGAGGATTGCGATTTGGTCATACATATTCTTAAATGACATGTCTGTACTTTTTATAGAAAATATTACATAGGCACAAAGTACATATTACCACTTTTTTCCAATAAACTGCAGAAACATAATTTGCATGTAAAAGTCACAATTACAAAAGATTACTTGGAATTTCGTCTATACTTAGAAAAGTCAATAAATATTTAACAAAATTGTAAATACGCACATAGAAATAGATCCCATGGAACACGTTACAAAAAAGTCAGTCATTCAATATTTGTTTACAATATTAAAAAAAAATTGAAAAATTGAAAATGTTATGCGCATATTGTCTCTAGTGATATAAATTAAGGAAAAGGTACTTTCTCTGACACAGGAAAATTGATATAAACTGTAATTTTATAAATAATTTTCTGAATAAATTCAATAAATAATTTAATTTTTATAAATAAATTCTATACGTAATTTAATTTTTATAAATAGGAATTGCAATTCACAGATAAGACTTTTAATCGTTGTCTTCATAAATATATTTTCTAAATGTTATACTATCTTCGACATGTAAAATCTAAATATGCATCTACATAATCAAATCAGTAACTGTCATTTACTTTCTGTTACAACACAATAAGTGCTCGGATATTTTCGCAAGAAAAGAGAGTAATTAATTTATGAGGGAACTATCAGAAATTATTGGAACTTTCAGAACTGTTGTTTATATGTTAAGTTCACACCACCTTATTTAGAGAAATTGTGATGTCTTTTTCATTGGTCATAACAATGAATTATTTAACCCTCTTCAGGGTTTGTAATAACTTCATCGACATTATAATGTTCGAGCTAACTTTTGCATACACTGCGTATTTTACAATGTTTTATTTTTTTACGAAGGATAAGCTGAAGCTCTGTTTCGTATTAAAATAAAGGAAAAGACATGCAACTTATAATTGAAAATAACGTAGAAAATATTTTTTCAACTTTTCAAATATACTAAAATAAAAAGAAAGATTGTTGCTGTTATTGCTGTTAATATTATGCTTATTATTACCGTTATTTTCGTTACTGAAATTACTACCATTGAAATTATTATTATAATTCTCCAAAATAGTAATTTCTAAAATAGGGCATCTTTCACCAACAAACACCTTGTTTCAAAGAGCAAAATTTATTTACTTTACTTCAACTATTAATAACATTTATGAAGAACTTTTACGAAAACCTCAATTCCTTCCCAATAACATAACGCTACTACAGAATGTTTAACTGACACCTTCACTAAAAACAGAATAAATGGTACTGCGTAAAGGTCAACTATGTATGTAAATATTTCTCCAGTCGAACTATGTGCATATCTTGAAAAAAATACTAACAAAAAGGAATCAACTACTTCCACTCGTTAAACCTTCAGCAAACACTACCAGCTAGTGTCAAATTCCGCGCGAGTCCACTCGCGGCGATACTTAACACTGCGCTAACAGAAAAGTACACAGCCGAGCAAAATTTGCCTTTCATTACCGCGAATGATCAAACACCATCAATTCTCCGCTCTCTGAAACGGTGGTTCCTCTGTTCGCAAAGGAATACCAATAACCGGACGATTTGCACACTGAAAAGTTTCGTTCGTATAGTTCCACCGGCAGAGGAGCGCCGCTGGATCAGGGCATATGTGAACTTTTCAATCGAGCGAGTTATACTGAACTCACTATACGAGTGCAATGTGCTTTATGCAATATACTTTCTGTCAAGTGACTGGAAAAGTGGTTGAACTATAGACTTAGCAATTAACCTTTTAACTAGGTATGATGTAAAATCCGGTCATGTTTGCATTTAAATTATAATGGCATGACGTGCACGTCATGTTTTTAATGATTGATATATATAGAAAATTGTTTACACCATCCTGCTTTTAATGATATGCATGACATGGAATTCTGTCACACGTGAGGAGTAATATCCACCCGGAATAAGACATTTTTAAACTTTTCACTGATTAATTACCTAGTTTAAAGGTTAAAGTCAAATTAGACGAAATCTGTTTGTGCAACATGTACTTAAAATCGCGACTCGTTCATCGTGTTGCTCGTTCTCTGAGATACTGACCATCGTCTTTTTTTATACGGCGTCCTACTGCATAGTATAAATGTAATAGAATTTTGGGTAATGAACAATATTTACTATATATCTCACGTGCGTGCAATACTAAGGAAATACATAACTAAAACTTGGAAAGTTAATTTACAGGAAATAAAAAATGCTATAGAAATGAAATAAATAAAATGGCCACTTTAAACGCATGACTTTACTCGGCAGAAGAACTGTCAGATGAATTAGAATGGAAAGTCAGTCGAAAAAATTAAAAATCACAATTAGAACTATGGAATATTCAATTAACAGAATTGAAAAACATTAATGTAAATACTATAGATAAATTAATTTCTAGATAGCCAAGATTAATGAAAGCGCATTAATTAAAACACACAAAGGATACGTAGACCAAATAAATTACTGTACGTAATAATAAGTATAGCCAGGATATTAATTCTTAGCAGATCTATACCAAAGCAAATCCGCTATTCAATATTCAATTATTGAAATAGTACATATTTTATCAATTTCTGCTATAAGTAATTCGTAACATTATAATCATATCGTATCCATAGAATTTTAATGATTTTTAAAAGCTCTGAGATGAATGCTTAAAACCACATCAAGCTGAAAAATTGAATCATAGTAATTCAGTAACGTTGACACAACTTCTAGAGTAAAAATTAAGAGCACTACGAGACTGCTAAGCATTAAATATTATTAAAATGCCGTTAAACAACATTCTAACCATTGCAGTCATTGTCGTCGATCTTTCTGAAATTTTGCTAGGTGTACTATAACCTTTCAGCAGAAATGTACGCATACCTTCCCGCCCTCTTAACTCCCTCCACCCAAATGTCCCTATGGCGTTTCCTCTTTCCCTCGTCACCGTCGTGTCGCGCAGCAAATTCAGCGTTGAATCATCTGGAGGCCACGCGACAAGCCGGTGGCGCAGATGTTGAGATAGCTATAATGCATGCAAACGTCGACGACAGCCAGAAGTAGAATTCGTGCCGTATCTTCCAGCGACGAAGGTGCTGCCTGGCGTGCCTTGATGGCGCCGTCGGTCGGCCGGGGCTCACCCGGTTTGGGCGGAACGTCGGAGAAGGCGGTTGGGGGGCTCCGAGCAATTTACCGATTACCCTTAATTGAAGACGATGACTTAACGCGGTCGTATAACCGCCTCTGAAGCTCAGAATCGCAATAAACGATCTGTTCTGCAGCGTCGGCACGGGCTACGTGACTTCGACGACAGCTCGATTAAAGAAGAAAAGTATTTTATGCGGGAACAGGCACGTACCTCACTGCGCCAGGGTATTTCCTTGCCGTCCTTGCGTTCTCGCGCAAGTGATTCGAACGATCGTCGTTTCTTTATTACCCAACCACCTCAGCCCCGTTCCCCTGTTCCCTCCGCTTCAAACGAAACGACACTCCCACCCTTGCATGTGGTTCGTCGAACGTGAACGGAAAACTTTTTTCATTTGGATCTCGCTGGTCTTTCTACGTTTGTCTGTGCCTACGAAGTGTTTCGGGAAGGCAGATGCGTTGATTCAGGCGGAGGTAGCGGTGTGTAAGTAGATGTTTAACCCCTTCTCCTGTGACTTCTTTCACGACTATGCTTCATGAACTTACCTTATCATTAATAATTTATTAGGAAAGTAGAGAACGTTTACGTTTATTTTATATGTCCTACATTTACTGAAATGGTTAACCCCTTGCTGCATTATTTACTTTTGCTATTAGACATGTGTAACATCGTATTATCAACAATTTGAAAGAAACGTAAAGTAATCTTTTATTTCACTGTAAGTGCAAATTTGCTTTCAAGATAATCAATTGATAATATCAATATAGTCTTTCACTCTAATCCATGCGTAACAAACAACATTGATTTTTATTAAATTAATCAAGAAATTTTCATCGCGAGTCTCACTCGTCATTGCATGGCAGAGGGTTAACGGTTAGTAATAGAAAAGTAATATTCAATTTATGATCGAAGAGCGTATCATAGGGTACGGAGTTAAGAACAAGTTTTGAGAATAATTATCCTGCTGATACAATTATGCATATATAATCTTGATGATTACGAATGAGTTTTGAGAATAAATATGTATCATAACCACTGCCCATGAATTTTTAACGGAAATAGAAGAGACTGTTCATAGATTTAACCATTAGAATTACCTTCAAAAATTTACATTGGTTAGATGAATATTGAACCAACAACCATGAAAATTCCGCATTTAAATGATTTGTTTAATGAAATAGAAAATGAAGTATTATTACAATATTCATTTTCAAGCTTATTTTATCTAAAAAATTCTTATGAAGCTTAGTTAACGACACGCGAAAAATATTAATTATTAAATTTTATTGTTATTACAATCAAATTAAAAAATTTCGGAAAAATAATATAACTCTCATAATTCATTGTTTTATGAACACTTTTGTAATTAATTAATGCTAAAGGCTATAAAATATACAGCGCCCCTTTAATATTAATTTGAACTTCCATTACATCAAAGGAGAACAAATTATAATATTCATTAGGAGTTATCGATTCGCAGACATACTAAAAAAAATCTTGCAGTATTAAATTATTTATTTAATAATACGTTATTCTTTTAATCTTTTTGTACCCCACATATTCTATTGAAATTCGATTCACGAAATGTGTTAGCATGAAAATTTGATATGTAACTGATACGACAGTCCATAGGCTGTCAGCATATATGCTAACACATTGTTAATAAAAAACGTAAATTGGCGTCTTTCATTTCATAGATATTAGTGAGCAGAGATATTAATTAAAAATATAAATTGCAGTTAATAAAACCATTGAAAAACTTTTTCTCCACTAAATTTTAGTAGAATGTTTTCTTTATTAAAATAGTCACATTCTTCTAGATATGTGCATAGTATGAATAACGAGTTAAGAATGTGCTCTTTATACTATAATGTGCTAGCAAATATTGAAAATAGATAAACTAAAAGACAACCAAAAATCTTCAAATAGCAACGTATAGATCAATTTTCTAACATACATCAAGTTTAATTTAACGCAGCGAAAGAGACCTTTGACCAACGTAGTCCAACCTTAACATTATTTTTACGGCTCTTCTGTATATACCTACTGTTACCAAGAGATAATTTAATAAAATCCATTAACTTAAATACATGTATTAAATATAATCTCATAAATAATTCAACACAATTTAATAAAAACATATACTGCTGAACTTAGACAATAATTTTAAGTTAAAATTTTGAAAAGAGTCTCTTTGGTGAAAACAACACTAAAAGATTAGCAACAGCCCAATGCACTCACGGCCAAAGTTGAACTCCACGGTGCCAGATTAAAATTTTAATATCGACTGAAGGTAGAAATATGAGACTCCCTCCATCACGTTTAAACACTGCACGCTCATTGCCCGCAAGATCTGCGAGCGGTAGGGTTCGTGGAAACACGTGGCGTCGCGTCGTGTTGTTCTATGGCTTCCTGCAGCCGTCGTGTTTTTATTTGTCGCCGGCGCGGACACGCGCGATCATAAATCCACGTCCGAGCCACGAGGCGAAAAACGCCAAATATAAAACTGAAAATGACGACGCGCGGAACAATGAATATCGATGCGCCTTGTCCCCGTTAATATTTCACGGAGTCGCAGGCTTTTCCGGTGATCAAAGCCTTAAGCTCGCTTTATTTATTCAGTTTCGACATTGCTCAGCCGACTTTTCGACGCGGCTCGATTAATTGGTCGGGCACGGGCGGCGTGGACGTTAACGAACACGGGAATGCGTCGTCGTCGATAGGACACGGATAGACGACGCGTCTACGGCGCTAAAATTCGATACGTTAATGTAATTACACAGGCCGGTTAATCCGCGAGGAGGACGGGCGAAAAAAGAGGTGCACGACGCAGGCAGAAGAGAGGGAACTGCAAAGGCCGCACTCGCCGACGCCTGTGTGCATTCATGTATCGACGTGAAAATCAAAGGCTCGGCTTCGTGCAGCTAACACGCGCAGCCTCAATTTTCTTTTACACCTGCGGACCTATCAGCCGTTGATAATGCGAGTCACATTGAGATGCAGCTGTTCACCAGTTTCAAGTGGCTAGCTTTGTGCCGTCCGCAACATGTTACGTGCACGCCCTGCGCTTGACATTTTTAAACGACACTGTAACGCGGAAACGTATGCATTTAACATGAAGAGGGATGCCGCCGGATTGAGTAACGAATTCTGTGGAGGAGGTGTCCCCTTTGTAGCGAAATTTTCCGCTGACATTTACGCACCGCAACGGTGTAGATTTCAAGCATGATTTATTGCATCGGCAATATTGTCACTTGTGAATTAGGACTGTTTGATTTACACGGAGCGTTTTCATCGTAACCTTTTGTCATACAATGACGAGCGAGACTCGCGATGAAGACTTCTGGATTAATTTAACAAAACTCAATGTTGTTCATTCTCCACGGATCAAAGCAAAAAACTATTTTGCTATTATCAATTAATTATCTTCAATGAAATTTCCACTTAAAGTAGAACAGAAAATTTTGTTACATTTCTTCCAAATTCTCGATAGTAAAATGTTACACGAGCTCAGTAGCGAAAAAAAAATAATACACGAAGGGGTTAATTAACCTTTTTCGATAATGATTTAAGCTTTCGGAGATTTGTATGGAAGGAATGTTTTGAATGTGTAACTTCGAAGGATTAGACGTTAGAGGGGTTTGATCTTGAGAACTGAGTGTTCATGTACTCGAAGTTCCTAATCTCTAAGCTATCGAAGTTGGAGGAGAACTTCGAAAGGCTTGACCTTAGAGAGCCAGAGGTCAGGGCTCCGAAGCTCCGGAGGTTACAACGTTGAAGAGATTCGTGAATCTTCGATGACAATGGACAATCACTTCAAAATCCTTTGTAAATACTGGAGATTAAACGTCAGTGACGTCGGAATAAATTTTTTTATTTCTAATTTTTGTTTTATCCTTTCTGCATACAAAATTAATACAATTTTGTGAAAACCTGATTAAAAAAGTTATTTATCTAAAGGGGTTCGTTACTTTGTATATGTATTCTATATTTTCTCAAAATTTCATCGGTTTCTTTATCCACTACAAACTACAGTGCTGTATGCTAATACTCTGCACTATCAATTTGTTTCAAATAACAATATGTTAACTGTGACAGTCACTATACGTGTCTAGAGTTGTTCCTTTACTTTGAATGCTTGACATAAAAAGAATATCATCGAATCATGAATTCTGAATGAAATAAGAGTGTACTGTGACAAATCCATTATTCAATAGCGCAACGTAACTTTATGTGTTTACTAATCTCAAATAGTTATCAAGCTACACTTGATTACTCACATGATCCCGGTCCGCTTGCGTCTGAAACAGCTAGAGAGGCAAGACGAAACATCCAAACTCGTGGCACTCGGCTCGATAGCAATGGAGGAATTAGTTTCGGCATGTCTTTGTTACTGGCCCAGCGGCGAGCTGAGGTGGAGCGTGCAGCCGATCCTCTTAGCCTCATCACTTTTGAGCCTCCGGCCGGCTGGGATCATGTGAGTAACCAACTGTACAACTATCGACTAATATTATTCTATTATTTTATTAATCTATTACTATCTAATAATATTCATTAAATGTCTGTTAATAGCGCTGTCGTGCTAGGAGGCGATCTCTCCGAAGTCGTAATAAGAGGTTCGGTTCGAGCTCCTGGCGCGATACGGGGCTTTTTTTGAGAAGTGCTTAAATCACGTGGCCCGATGGTGGACCATAAATTAAATGTCCCATCGCTGGTGAAAGCTGTGACTGCAGTCAGTCATAGCCGAACCATCGGGTAGTATAAATCTTGTATTTTAAACCGTATCACAATAAACGTACCTCTTACTTCCATAGTAATTTTACTTTTCTGCCCACTGCACCTCTAATATAGACTTCGAATTTTTACGAGCGCAAGAAATTGCTTTAAAAAATGAGTATATAACAATAAACACTGATAAAATTGTATGTTTCCGCCATGCTTTACAGAAAGCAGGTTACCAGGAATAATTTTCATTGCAGAACCAAGGTTGTCTATCACTGCGAGCTCACTACTAATGACAAGATAATTATATTTATTCACGTCACTCAATATTTTATCATTGTACATATATAACAATGAAAATTCTATAGCGGTTCCCGGGAAAAAACGCACGAAACTTGCACGGCAATCAACGCGCTAACTTCCTTTTTGGGAGAACCATCAAAGCTTCGTTACCATCGGTTCAATGCAACAGAGCCGCGGCCCAAAAGCCGAAGCTTCAAAAATATTCGGCGGGAGCAATTAATTCAGCCGTGATTAAGGGACTGATTTGCTCGTTATACGCGTTTCATTCTAACACGGGAAGCTAACAAACAACAGGAGAACGGATGTGACGCGTCGGAGTCGTCGCCGGCGCCGCGCCAAACTACCAAATTACATTTAACTGCAAGAAGTCTTTAATCAACGCGGGAAATCCTATTCGCTAGCGTGAACGTTGGCTCCCTGCAGAATTGCTTTCGACGAGTATTGCGACGGGGTGCCCGAAAGTAGCGAACATGGGAACGATTTAGAGGAACGGACGAAGAGAGGCAGGGGGAGTGACAGAGAGAGAGAGAGTGAAAGGGTGGAAGGGGCAGGAATATTTGTCAGAACTTATCACAATGTGTCATCGCGACAAGGCAGATAGGATCGTAATGAACGTTGCAGACGTATACGCGTCGAGGAAGATCGGAACGCGGCGCACAATACGCGATCCCGCAAATTGTTGTCCCGTCGGTACATTAATTCATGAATGAACAAGCCTCGCGACGCGCATCGCAAACTACCGTTGCCGGCCGATGATATTTTATTTACGGTCCACGCGACCGAATGTTATTAAGCCGATAATCCGTAATCAACGCGTAACTCACGAGATATTTCATCCCCGAGGTTGGTTTTTGAAGCGCGAACTCTCCCTCCCTCTCTTTCTCTCTGTGTCGTTTGATGTATTTTCACCGAAAAATTTTGATGGAAAATACGGTCGGGAGAGACACTGACCAGGGATATATGATTATCTTATATCGATAGTGCCAGAATAATCGATTCCGAATGGTACTATGAAACAGAGTACAAATAATTCGTTTATAAGCCAGTCATTTGAATTTTGAAATAGGTATTGGATCGAAAAATTGATTGCATAGCATAATAATAGCATGCTAATGTAATTTGATTATGTATTTGAGTAATTAATGTCAGTCTCTGCAATCTAATACATTCCGTTGAATATTCGTTAAATAAGTAGACAGATTCCAGGTCGTTTAAGGAATCTGTTCATTCAAGGAGTATTTAGAATGCTTAAACTGCAGTCAAATATACATTCAACGTGTATCGTTAGATATGAACTGTATTTAATAGAAGCGAATTATTCCGACATAATCGTGGTCAATAGTGAATATGGAACCATTTGTCTGCCCGAATTGTTAATATATCTTAAACCTTTTTAACGTTTATTGTAACGCTTTTATTAACTTTCTCTCCATTAAAAAAATGATAAAATCTATGTAACTTTACATTCCCAAAATTGATTTTGGTCAATCGCTTCAATATATTTTCGCAGATTATCACAATTTTTGTAGCAATTTGATGGATCATGCAAAAATTATATTAAAACATACTATTTATATATTCATTTATATATTCATAAATATATTTTAATACTAGTGAGAAAGTTTTCTCAGAATTTTAGTTACTGCTAGAAAAATTCAATTACGCGTTCAAGAGCAGATGAAAGTAAGAATATTTGAAGATTTTATCTCTCTTAATAGTTAAAACGTACAGAAATATGAATCAAATTCATCTACAAATAACCTTATGTAACTCGAAATTGAATAGTGTTGATTGAATTAATTCTTGGCACTCTATAGGATCCGCTACGGAACCATTTATACTATCAAATATCTTAACAAACAAAGGTGAAGAAACTATCCTACGATTATTGCATGTGTAATACAATGTATATTTTGGTCTTAAAATGGAACATAAAAGAATCTAAGAAATGTTACAACATTTGTTTGATTTTCACTAAGGATATTATAAAAATAATTGAAGTTACTGCTGAACTATAAAATGGACTGGACTGCTAAGAGTTAACATGAACAAAGTCGTACTGTTTCAATTCTGTTCCCGTGAAAGATGATGATAAACAATCCACAAATAGTAACTGTAAAAGGAAATATCAAGACTTCCGGTTAACTATCAAGCGTGCTTCGAAAGTATCATACGCAGAGAGTTATTGAGCTTACGTGCCTAAAGTCTCTGAGAGATATCATACGAAACTGCAAATTTCATTCGTTCTGGAAAGAAGAAACACGTGCGAACAATAAATTACTTGGACCACGTTCGTCTCTAACGATGCTGTGCTATTAAGTCGAAATGTTTAATGGAACTTTCCAAGTATCTCGGTTTATTGACAGTGCTTTGTTAATGGCCATCCGCCACATTGGGAAATTGAAACTAAAAAGATTGCTATCGTAATAGCTGTAAAGACTTGGTTCTCTCTGACCCCTTAAGTAGAAATTACGAATCTCACGTGTACGTGCTCTCTCCGTGGAATTTAATTTTGAAAATTACATTATAAATCTTTGGTATTGTGCTCAAAATAATTGTTTTATTTTTATAAATAAATGTAATGGAAGCTGTAATACTTGAGTTTTATTTTATAATAGTTATATTGACAAATTTTCGACAAAATAATTAGTATCATAAGAAGGAACATTTGAATCGATATAAATCGTAAGACAAGATATAAAAACGAGTTCACTTTGCGCATACAAACTCAATGTAAACACATCCTAGATTAAGGAATGAACATTTTCCTCAATGAAACAATTGAAGTTCGTTACGATATCTGAATAATTAAAATTGGTATTCTTTAATAATATTACGGATATTAAAATTGTTAGTCATATATTAAATATAAAATGTCTTTCATCATTTGAAATTCATTGATTCAAAGCCCGTATTTTAGTATAGCTCTTTGGAATGCAAAAATCAAATAAATATGAAACAACCACAAAACGTCAATATTTAAAAATATTTATCGACAAATATTTTCAATGGATAGATAATAGGATTACAGAAAACCAGAAAAAATCTGTGGATCGTAAAATAATCATTTTTGACGAAAGGTAAATATACATATTGCTTTTATTACGTTGAACGGTCAGCGGTACGTTCGTACCACACAATTTTTTAATTAAAACACGGAAACATCGAAAATATGATTTTTCGGCATTTAAAAATTGCTGTTATTTTCCGTCATGTGAATATTTTTCCATTGTAAAGAACTCCGTTATTGTTTACACGCTTTTATTGCAATATTTCGTTAAAACAGCCTTTCGGATCGTGACATTTTAAACTGAATTATACATGTAAAATTGTCGAAGTTTGATTTAAAAAATGTGCACTAAAAAATCTCAACTTTTTATCACAAGCGTAACGACTTGCACAATTCCTTACAATCTGTGCTAAAAAAGATAGTATGAATCCAGCTCAAACTATGTAAATACCTAACCGTCAGAAATTATTAAATTTTTTTACATTCTGATGATCTCCATAAGTACTACACTGTACGCCAATAATTGTTACACTGTCGAAGAAGATGGCAATTGATTTAATAGTAATAAGAAACAAATAACAAAATTTCGTCTACTTTTTAAATATATTTTTGTACTTGTACAATAATTAACTTCCATCCTTAATAATTTTCCGAAGCAAAAATATTTAAAAATTAGTCAATTTTACTGCTATAATACGAGATTCTCTCCTTAATAGTGAACATGATTGGCTGAAGACTATTACTGCGTATAAAAATGATGAGAGTGGTTTGAACGAATGTAGTCGTATTTATGAAGTTCCTAAAGCACCTATTAGGAGACACATTTGGAAAAAAATTTTTGAGCACATTCTGCAATCTGAAGACTGCTTTGTCGGCACTTTGAAACGGTGGTTTAGAAAACCGGTTTTCTTAATTAGACCGATTATACAAATTTAATTTTCACTGGTAACTGATCTAACTTAAAAAACATTATAATACATTGTATTAAAAAATTAAAAAGTACAATATTTTTTCACTGCTTGATTTTTCCTAAATACGCCTGTAACTGAAAATATTAGAAAATGTTTTAGTAGTTCAACTTCGGCAACTTTCTCCTTAGTAGTATTCGAGATGTATTTAGTGCATTTTAGATTTGTAACTTAGTCTTAGAAGTATGAATGTAAGGATGTGTGCGAGCGAAGGGGCAGGAAAACGCCATTATTCGAAAGTTCGATTATCCGAATAAGGTGTGTCGTCATCAGTTCAAACAATTAGTCATACAATAGTTATATAAAGTGTTTCTAATACAATGGAAGTACATACTTAAAGACTTTAAATTCAACCGGCCATATTTACTGACTCTGATTAAGCTACTTCATATTTTTCATCTTCATCCAAATTACACCCAGTACCTAATTCAAATAACAAGAAAACGATTTCTCATAATCAGATTGCTGGTTTTCATGCATTTATAAAAAATTTGGAGGTGCAGAATAATACAGAATAACATTGCATTTAGTTTGAATAAATACTGTTTCTGTTCTTGTTACTTCGGTTTCCTCGTCTCGTTATTAAAATATTTCATTAAATAATTTACTTTTATACTCTCGTATAATAGACATGATTTCGAATGACACTAATTATAAGAATAACTTTGCCGTTCCAAGTTTAGCTGTAGTGAATGGTAGCAGGATAGCATGAAAACGGAGAGGATATCGCGGTAAATTTCTATGGTGTCATCCGCCATGCTGTTTCAGATTAAAACGTGTGACGTCTTCA